CCGCCAGCCGGTCCCCCCCCCGGCGACCGCGCTGGCAAAAAGCCTCATCCCCACAGGGATCAATGCATGCGGCTGTGGGTCGCTGTCACCCGGGCTGCTGCTGCCCTGACCCTCCAAAGATGCGTTTGGTTTGGGGCCAACCTTCCAGAAAATTACAATAATGGTTCCGTTTCTTCTGGATAAGCTGAGGACAGGCGAGTTCTGCAGCCTCCTCAGGTCCTGCCAGTTGTAGCCTATGACCTGCCGGTATTCGGCACAGCATCTTCCGAGACCTGACTCGGCTGCCGGCACACTAGCTGGAAATGCTCCACTTGTGCCACAAGAAGCAACGGACCTGCTGCCCAGGAGACCTGGAGCTCAGGAACTAGAGCTGGAGGCGTTTCGCCGTACCAGCTTCGCCTTTCCTGCTCCCCGGCTGGACAAGGCTGCGCTCGTGCTCCTCAGGCCCTGTTGTCAGCGGTCCCGGGGAGAAGAGGGTCGGCAGGCGGCCGATTTAGCCCAGCCCCCCCGAACAGCTGTGTCATCGGTCAGCCGTGAAGTCAACTGTCTCCACACAGATGGTTTAAGAAACAGTCTTTTGAAAGGGCTGGTAACCGACGCTGTATTGAACGCGTTAGAACCACCTTGGCGTGGTGCGTTGAGGGGTGGCTGAAACACGATCAACAGTCCCGTGCGCTTTAGTTTTTTCACCCAGCCTGTTGCTTTGTGAACTGGCTGACTGCTTTGCTGGCCATTCATGGAGCTTGATTACAGGGGCGAGGAAGGGAGCCGTGGCAGGAGCCAGCGATCTAACCGGTGGCTTTTTTTTCTTTCAGGAAGCGCTGAGGAACGGTCTGGTGGCCACAGAGGTGCTGATGTGGTTTTACATTGGGGAAATCATAGGCAAGGGCGGCCTGATCGGGTACAACGTCTGAAGACTGATCCTCAGTGACACCGGCCGCGGTGCCGTGGTCCCGAGTCTGTAACGGGGTCTGTGACAATAAAGCCAGGAGCTGATGTCGAGCTGTTGTGGTGGTTTGTGGCAGGGCGGCCCGGTGGCGGGGCCCCGACCGGCCTGGGTGGAGGTGGCTTCTCGGTGAGGCAGCTGCCAGTCCCCTGAGACAGCGCTAGAGCTGGCCGGGCATCACCGCTGTTCATTATCACACCTGTCTGCAGCCTCTGGACAACCGCTGTGCCTCCGCTGCAGCACTGGGGAAGCTGTGAGTGCCCCAGTGGGACCTGAAAGAAACGCCAGTATTTTATGTGTGCTGTGGAAAGGTATCTGCCATGGCTTGTGTCATAGGGTATGCAGCACTATTCCACACGGTTTTGCTGGTTTGGGGTGAGGCTGGGTGAGTGGAAGCCTATGAAGGTAAGCAGACCTTCAATGTACGTGTCGTGTTAGCTCACCGCTGGCTGGAGGTGTCAGCTGCCGTTTTCAGCCAGCTTTCTGAAGGTGCATGCAAAAACCTGGTGAGATCGCCCACCCTCCAACATGTGTCCAGAAAATAATTTGTAGAAGGACTTCTCTGAAGCCGGCAGTCCTGTTGGGATAGGGCTTAACTGTTTTTATTGTCTTAAAAGGTGGTCCTCAGTCAGTGTTGCTTCTTGCTGATCCTGCTGTCATATCAGCTGCCCCTTTGCTCCTTGGGGCCCTGTGCTCAGCTCCCCGGTGAACCCACAGCCCCCCAGCTTGGCCGCCCCCAGTGACCCCAAGGTCTCCAGGGTGGCTGCCCCAGTAGCACGGCGATTTCTCTTTTCCCTGCAGCGGAGCTGACCTGCTCAACGCTTTATCCCGGCAAGAAGCCCCTTGGACTCCTGACAGGTAGCGCAGGTGAGCTCACACGCTTCCTATTCAGAGATCAGAAGGTCATCGGTGGAAAGCTTTTATTTTTTGGTTAAAAAGAAGGGTTCCTGACCACGCAACAACCTCTGACCAAGACACCTGTCACCTCCATGCAACAGATGGGGAGCCCACCGAGGCTAAAAACTTGCCAGCTTCCCCAGGAGAGCCTGCGATGCGAGCAGTGACAGGCCCAGGGTTTCCAGCCCCCTGCCCAGCCATGCTGTCCTGCACCTACAGCTCCCCACCCAGCTGCCCAGAGCCACGCCCGCCCCGCCGCGCCCAGCCAGCCCCTGTCCTGGAGAAGCCCCTGCATTCCTGGGAATTGCCGGCTGCTCCTCTTGCTTCCTCTGCTGCCCAGGAAACCTTGTCGTTTCTTTCACAGGGCACCAGCACATTTAACCAGGGCTGCAGCCAAACGCCCTGGCTGAGTGGTGGGTGCAGGCGAGGCTGAACGATGGCCCTGAAAACGGCTGCTCCCGGGGAGCTCTGTGCTCCCCTCTTCACCAGCCCGTGGCCCAGCAGGTACACACCCCTGAGGGGAGCCCATCAGGCCCCTTGGTGGGGGTCTGCAGCACCTATTCCATAATGAGAGCCAGACAGGGATGTCACACATGGGATTTGAAGTGTGATCTTCATTTCCAGAAGGTTTCTGGACCCAAAAGAACCTCCCTGAGAGCAAGCCTGCCTGCTCTCACCCAAAAGTGTGGCTGCCCCATGTGATTTATTCCTACCTGGCCGTACTGCTCTCTCGGGGTGGATGCTCACTAGTGGGCCCGGTGCTGCAGCTCGCAGACCAGCGCTGGGAGGCAGGGGCTGTCAAATGCGCTGCGTTTGGAGGTTTAAACTGGACTAGCAAAGGGTGGGAGAGCTCTGAACCGCATCCCTTTCCTGTGCCCTAGAGAGACAGAAACCGTGGAATTTTAATCTTCCTCCCTGGAAGTCCCTGTGAGAAGCCACCCTAGCCCTGCTCCCAGGGCAGAACCCCTGCAGCACAAGTGTGAAATAAGCGGTAAGCAGCATCTGTGAGCGCAGCTGCGCTCCAGCAGCTCTTCTGCCCCCTTTAATGTCCTTGGCTGGCTCTGTGAGGACTGGTGGCCTTTCCTTCCCCCTCAGCTCCTCTCTCCCTGCAGCCGCTGCCCTCTGAAGGGAGCGGG